CATATGATAAACTTTGGAGTTAGGAAGCTAGGCAATTAGGGAGTTAAGAAATTAGGACCTAGGCAACTAAGACTGTAAGTTACAGATAAGCTGCTAAGAAGTTATCAGCAGGGGAAACTTTTATACAGGGAATTATTCACACTAATATAATCATGGGTCCAGATTGAGGATTGCAGGAAAAGAGAAGAATATTGTATATAATTTGAATCTTTTTATTTGCTTTGGAAGAGTACATTAAAAAAACAACAGGTAAAATTTCAAGGCCTAAAATTCTATTGGTGAAATTGGCTTAAATGGGAGAAATATTCTCAAATATGAAATTCTTAGGACACACACAAATAAATTTGAAGAGGAATAAGAAGGGCAGTCATCTAAAGAGACATTTATGGTTGTATCGCGAACTCACTGACCAATTCAGACATTTTGTAAAAGCTACTTTTCAGACAAGATAAAGGTCAAATAAATGATAGTCCCATTGGCTGGGGGATAGGTGGGCTGAAGGTAGCCTATTAATTAATTAATTAATTAATTAATAGCCTATTAAAAATGGGAGGCAGTGTGGTCCACGCTAGATTTGAGTCAGAGGTAGTGAATTCGGATTACATTTCTATTTTTTACTAGTGACCTTGAGTAAGGCACCTATCCTTTCCAGGACTCAATTTCCTCATTGAAAAAATTAGGTGGCTGAACCTGTGACGTCCCTCCTATTTCTAAAGTTATGATCCTATGAATAGGTAACATTTAGATAGTATTTTAAGTTTTTGCAAAGCCCTTTACCCATATTACTATACTTAATCTTCCTCACAATACTCTGAAGTAGGTAGTACAGGTATTTCCATCTTAGAGATGAGGAAATGAGGGCTTTAATCAGATAGCTGGCAAATGTCAGAGATGGCATTTGAACCCGTCTATTTGACTCCAGGTCCATGGCTCTTTTTACTATACCACTCTGTTGAATCATTTTTTTTTTCTCGGTAGTATCCGACTCTTTGTAACCTCATTGGGAGTTTTCTTGGCAAAGATACTAGAGTGGTTTGACATTTCCTTCTCTAGCTCATTTTACAGATGAGGACACTGAGGCAAATAGGGTTAAGTGACTTGCCTAGGGTCACATAGCTAGTAAGTATCTGAGACTGGATTTGAAGTTATAGAGATGAGTCTTCCTGACTCCAAGCCCAGTGCTCTATCCACTGCACCTTCATACCGCTCTGACTCTCCAGTAAATAATGGAAAAGTATGCAGAAGTACTCATTTCTTATAATGAATCATCTTTAGATTGGAGAGTATAGGATAAAAATGGCTAGCAGGGAAACTGAAATCCAAGATAAGTGAAGGAATGGTTGGAGAGAACCTAGCTGTCTTTAAAAAGGTCCAGTCTCTTGGAAGAGATGAAACACCCAATGGGGTAGCAAATTCTTTCAGAAGTGATTGCTGTGGTAATGACAGTGATCACTGAAAAACTGTGGAGATAAGGAGACAAACCACAAGAGGGAAAATGGGCAAATGGTCCTAATTTTCACAAAGGGGAAGAAGAAGATGAAGAAGACTAATTCCTCATACTCTAGGCTGGTGACTTTATTTCCTGGTGAGCTAGTCATTTAACCACTTTCGTCTACATTGGATGGATCACAGAACAAGGATCCAGAAAGGCTCCAAGAGGTTAGAACTGTGAGCTGAATATAATAAAGTGGAAACTAGGAGGGATCAATATAAGTAAAGTCCTGCAATTTGGGTCAAAAAAAAAAAAACAAGGCACAAGTGCAGAAAAGAGAAACTGGAGATAAACAATATTCCATCTGAAGAAGACCTAGAGGTTTAGTGAACAGTAACCTCAACAAGATTCAAGAGTATAACATGGCAGCCAAAAAGCTAATGAAATCTTTAGGCAGCAATAATAAAAGTGTAGTATGACTAATGTGAAAATGTGTTTTGTATGATTGCACATGTATAATCTATATCAAATAACTTGCCTTCTTAATGAGGGGGGAATAAGGGAAGGAGGGAAAGAATTTGGAACTCAAAATTTAAAAAAAATACTAAATGTTAAAGATTGTTTTTGCATGTAATTAGGGTGGATAAAATATTAAATCATTAAAAAATATAAAAAATAATAGAAGTGTAGAGGCTGGGATTAAGGAATCCAGAATGCTGCTACATTCTGCCTCTAACTAACATTCTAATGACCTCTAACTAACTAACTGCTAACATTTCACTTCAACGAGCATGTTCAGTTCTGGGCATCACATTTATAGTCAGAAAACTGATGAGCTGCATTGAGCCCAGGACTCCAGTTTACTCTTTGAATAACAGATTCCTATCATCACTATATTGAAAAGGATTCAATTTACAGAAAACAAAACAAAAACAAAAAGACAGAAACAAACTTTTCACTCAAATGATCAGAAATCCAGCCGTCGTACCAGGTGAATTATAACTACTGAGAATTCTTAGCCTAGGCCCTCATCGCCTCTCACTTGGATGACTGAAGGTCTTCCTGCCTCCTATCTATCTGTACTGCAAGTCCATCCTCTACAGCTACCCAAGTGATTTTTCTATAAACACAAAATTGACCATGTCACTCACCATCCCCTACTCAATAAACTCCAGTGGGTCCCTGTTGCCTCTAAAATAAAATATTACTCTGTTTAGCTTTTAAAACCCTACAGAATTTGGGTCCATTCTATCTTTTGAGTCTCATTTCACACGAATCTGCATTCCAGCCAAACTGGCCTTCTCTCTTTTCCTCATACACTATGTTCCATCTCTCATCTCATTGCCTTTGCAAAGTCTTGGTAGGGATGCCTTCCCTCCTCATCTCTACACCATATAATCCCTCTCTGTCTTTAAGACACAACTCAGGCATTACCTAGGTATGTGGAACTTCCATTGTGAATGCTTCCCTTATGAAACTATTTTGTATTCATTTTTTAAATATTTACTTTGTAAATATTTAGGTCCATACATATATGTATACACACATACACATATACACATCTTGTCCACTAGAACACAAGGGATTGTGTCATTCATTTCATTTATGTCTACAGAGCCTAGCATAGTTCTTGGCACTTAGTAGGCACTGCATAAATATTTGTTAATTGAATGATTGATTTTTAGCTTTGGGAAAACTTAAGGGGTGCATGACAACTGCCTTCAAGTAAATGAATTGTTGACAGGTGGAAGATGGTCTTACAACCTTGTTTCTTTGACCCCCTAGGGCAGAACTACAGAAATGAGTGGTTACTGCAGAGAGTCAGATTTCAGATTGATATCAGGAAAAATACTCTAATAATCAAGAATTGTTGAGCTGACATTTTGGCTTCTTTGGAAAGAAGTGGTTACCAATCAGTGGAAGTCTTCAAGTAAAGATTAGATGACTCGTGGGTATGTTAGATAAGGGATTCCCGATCAGATATGGGTTTGAACGGATAACTTCTGAGATTCCCTTTGACACTGAGATTGTCTGATTTAACATAAGATATGGCTTATCCATATGTTAAGTGTTCATTTCTATATTAATAATACTCATTCATTCATTCATTCATATTTTTGCATAAAAATACCTACATCGCACCTTGCCAGGCACTGGGGCGATGTAAATATGTATAAAGATACAGCCCAAGTTTATAATCCAAAGAAACGAAATATATATAGATAAACAGTCAAAGATGAATAAAAATACATAGTCTTATGTGACTAAATGCCCATGGTGTGATTTTAACAATAAATGTTATAGGTGTTCAGAGAAGGGAAAGCACCAAAAAAGGAAATGTTCAATGCTTCCCTGAAGCTGGTATTGTGGAGGCCACTTAGACCACACATAATCAGCATGGATTGTATAGCAAAATGATGATGACTGAAGCTGAAAAATGGTTTGATTTCCATAATTTCTGAGCATAGCCAAATTTACTTGGGCTTTCATTTTAATGCAATCACGAAAGTTAATCCAGAGCCATTACTTTTCGTTTAGTCATTCTTGTTTTTCATTACTCTCTACCACTTCCATTTCCTCTCCTTTCTAGCTCTGTACCAGTTAAAAGAGCCTAGGGAAGGAACACTGTGTTTGACACGCCCCGCTGCATGGACAGATAAGAAGTTTTACCAAGGTCGACAGATGCTACTTTATACTTAGGTGACTTACTGTGCTCAGCAAACAATTACGCTTTGCCCCTGTATCCCTGATATTTCTGATGCCCCACCCCAAGCTTTCCACTATTTCAATTTTAAAAGAAATGCTTCCCCATCAAAATTCAACAGCATTTTATAAGCTGTTTTCCTGCCTGCACTAAATTTAATATCAGGATTATTATCCATTTGTCATTTCAACCTATAATTTAGGAAGCCTTTTGTGTTTGAAGTACATTTCCCTCCACCCCCTTTCCTCCAGCTTTTACCGGGATATTCACTGAAGCCTCTGTCTAGGACATTTGGTTTGACCTCTTAGAATAAATATTTTCAGTGCTTCTGATTCTGCTTTCCTAAGAGGCACCATTAGTTCTGCTCAATTCTATTTAAAATAGTTTTTATGATACAATACAATTTCAACATTTCTATATTAATCTTCATTTTATTTCTCTAAGTACTTACACAAACACTGTCACTGGGACATCACTGATGGGACACATTCTATCTCTCTTTCACTCCTGTCCACTTAAAGGCACCACTAAAACAATAATAAATGGTTTACAGAGAATCTGCTGAGCATTGGAAGAAAAAGTTCAAGAAGTGGCCTTGTCATTGACAATTGCTCATAGGAACTACTTACATCATCAGTCTCTCAAATGAATTAGATGGAAGAATTCTGGTATGAGCACCCCCCACATACCAGTAATCCCTTCCTACCTGGGCCACTGGATTCTAGTTTTTAGATACTTCAAAAAAAAAAAAAAGATACCTTGGTGAAAACATTTCTCAGGTTAAAAGGAAATCAAACAAACAATTCAAACCAAAATACCAATCGAAGGCATTTGATGAGTTCAATCAGTAGAGCCTTTCCTTACCCCACAGCCCAGGCCATTGCTTGGCTCACATGTGATTTTCCTCACTTCTGGTTCAGGGAGCAGGCCTGCTCCACACCCTGGACTGGGGCAGAGGACTCCTCCCATTTGCAGGACACATTCCTCGGCTCCATAGCGTTGATACCGGTTGTACTAGAAAGAAGAAAAAAAAATTTAAAAAGAGGCAGCAATATTAAAGAATCAATGCAGTATTTTTGCTGACTAAGATAAGATTCAGAAGCCAGGGGAGGCGTAGTGAATAAAAAAAAAGTGCTAGATTTGGAGTCAGAAAGATCAGTTTGAATTACTCTTCTGGGACTTACTAGCTGGGTGACTATGGGCAAATCACTTAACCTCTCTGAAATTCGGGTAACTCCCTAAGACTTAACCCCTTTCCCTGAGACAATGTATATTCTATTGGGGCAGGTGGAAGGGAAAAGGAATAAGCATTTATATAGCTCCTGCTATGTGCTGGACATTGTGCTAAATTCATTATAAATATCTCATTTGATAGGAGACAACCTTTACCCATATAAATATATACAAATAAATACAAAAAATTCGGGGGTGGGATGGTTCAACAAAGACCTCATATAAGAGATAATGCTTAAAATGATCTTTTAAAGAAAGTAATAGATTCTAAGATGTAAAGATGAGGAGGGAATACATTCCAGCTATGAGGGACATGTGGGAAATACAATGTCATGTGTAATAAGCAGCAGGAAGGCTAATTTAGTTGACACTCAAAATAGTTTGGCCTAACCATCCACTTAGGAAAAAAAATGGAGGAAAACTACCTATTGTCCTGACTATGAAATACAGTCAGATGGGAAATCTATAGAGCAAATCCATCAGTGTATAATAATATTAATAACATATGGCATTTACATAGATCTTCAAGGTTTGCAAAGTGATTTACCTTATTCAAGATGTATGTATATTTTATTCAGTTATTTCAGTTGTGTCTGACTCTTTGTGATCCCATTTGGGGTTTTATTGCCAAATATCCAGGAGTGGTTGTCCATTTTCTACTTCAGCTCATTTTACAGTTAAGAAAACGGAGGCAAATAGGGTTAAGGGACTTGCCCTGGGTCACACACCTAGTAAATGTCTGAGGCCAAATTTGAAATCAAGATGAGTCTTTTTGACTCCAGACCTGGCATTCTATCCACTGCACCACCTACTGCATATAATATATGTAGACATACAGATGTATCTATATCTCTTGGAAATATAATACAAATGGACATTAAGGTGGGCATAGGATTGAACAGGAGAAGAACAGGCTGGATTTCTTTTTGATTGGTGGGGACTGTAAATCATTGATATATGATACTGACAATTGTAGAAAGAATGGCTAGTTTTTTCTACCAATGGTTGTATATTTTTAAACCCTCTATAAAGCTCTCCTCCACAAAAGTCTTACTCGAATAATGACAGCTGACATTCATATGTGTTAAATTTTGGGATGCACTTTATAGACGTTATCTGGTTTCATCTTCACAACAATCCTGTGCAGTAGGTACTATAGTGTTATTATCACCATTTTATAGATGAGAAAATGGAGGCTCAGAGATATTAAATACCACATTCATGGTCACATAGTTAGTAAGAGGTATTTCCTGACCTGACTTCTAGTACTGTTTCTGCTATCACAGTACTATTTCTCCCTCTCCTCTAATACCTCATGATACCGGGGGTCATTTTTAGTGTGAGCCGTGGAAAGCCCTGCCAAGTTGAAAGAGCTGTGCTAACAGGCCCAGGGATGGGCTTTTTGTCTATAATCTGAGGTTCAGTCTATCTAAGTGTGTGGAAGCTCAACACTAAAAGCTCGGCTACCAGATGATTGTTCAATCAATCAGCAAGCATTTATCAAGTCATTACTACGTGCTGGGCATTGTGTAAACACTGGAAAGACAAAGAAAAAAAAAGCAGAACCAGGATTGGAGTTTCTTATTCAGTAGGCTTGAGGGAGTCAATGAACATTTTTAATAGAGTAAATAAGGTCATAACAGCACATTAGGAAGACAACTTTGGAGGACAGAATGAAGAAGGGTCTGATTAGAGGCAGAAATGACAGTTTGAGGATATTATTATAGTACAGGGAAGAAAAGATAAGAGAATATACTAAAGCAATTGTGATGGAAGTGCAGAAGGAAAGCCAAAAAAAAGATATAATGAAAATACAAATGAAATGTAGCAAAAACATATATAAAGAAGGACAGAGAGCTTATGAAAGAGAGAGGGAGGGAGAGAGGAAGGGAGAAAGAGAGAGAGAGACAGAGAGAGAAAGAAAGCGAGGGAGAAGGAGGGAAGGGGAGGGAGGGGGAGAGAAGGCAAGACTAGGGGAGAAAACTAGAAAACTTAAAGGAGTAAAGGAGAAGAGTTGTGAAGCGTTATCATTATTGCTCTATGATGATAGTCTCAATCTTCTCAATAACAGGAAGCAAGGTTACCTGCTGAGTATGAGAAAAGAGGAAAGAAAATTTGTAGTTTTGGAAAGAAAAAATGTGGGGAGTGTCACTGATAATCATTAAGAGGTGAATAAGAAAGCTGCCATGAAGCAACGAAGGTCCAGTTAAGGCTAGATTTAATATATGTGTAGTGGTTACAGTCAATATAATTTTCATGATGACTTACAGTAGTATTTAGCAACTCAGAGGCAGGAGCCAAGAAAGAGGAAAGGGTTACCCAGATTTGAGGGTTATTAGGACATTAGGGCACTCAAGAGTTGAGGAAAGGGCATTCATTATTTGTTACTTGCCAGAAGGTAAGTTCCAAATCCCCACAGGATTTATTCTGTAAAACTTGAACTCAGTCAAAAGGCCTCACCTGAGGACCTAGAGGGCCACATGTGGCCTCAAGGCCGCAGGTTACTCACCCCTGTGCAGGAGGATGGAAATATGCTTTACTAACAACTCTTAGGATTTTGAAAGGAAAGGAACCTTAGAAATAATCTAGGCTAAGCCATTTATTCTATAGATGAGAAAACAAACAGATTTTGTCCAAGAGATTTGCCCAAGGTCACATAGGTTGTAAATATAATTCAGTGTTTTTTATTTTTATTATTACACAATACTTCCTATTATAAAAATATACATTTTGATACTATAAAAACTAATTATATTATATGTTAATAAATTAAAGAATTCTGGGGAAAAACAATCATTAATAATAGGAGGATCTAGGAAGTATTTACATGCACAAGTTAACCACACACACACACACACACACCCACCCGCCCACCACCAACAACAACCAATTACTGATTAATTTAATTTTGTTTTGATTTTGATCCAGACATGACATCATCTGTATAGAGACCTCAGGATGAGGAACTCCATCTGTCAGTGTCTTCTTTGTGACTCATTAGATTCAGATTTTTCTGAGGTTACTAAGAGGTTGTGACTTGCTTAGGGCCTCTGTCAGTGCTCAGTCTTCCTGAGCTATTCATCATATCACATTGGTTGTTGATTAGCTAGTAACAGATTGTTTGCCTAACTTTACAAATGGTTATTACTTGGCCAATTTAGTCAAAATAAGTAATGTATGTAGACAATGTTACCCATTTCAGCAACATGACTGAATTTAATTCACTAAGCATTTATTAAGCACTTACTCTGTCAGACCCTATTCTAGGTGTAAGAATGGAACAGAATTAATAAGAATTTCTATTTCAGCCAGCTAAGTGTGGGGGATACAGATGTAAAGGTGTGGTTCTTTCAGACTGACAGTTTTGCTGATTGAAAAAACAAAAACAAATATGAGATTTGAATATTAAAACAAAATCCGAAAAAGGCATCCTAAGAAACAATTGCCTTGTTTCCCACCTGCTCATTTGCATAAAACCAACAGGAGAACTTTAGAGTTAGAAACTGGGGAACCCTGAAACTCAGAGATTTTGTGATTATTAGGCAAATGTCCATTGCTTGATTATGGCCCAGCCTGCATATATGAGGTAAATGCGCTGTTTGCTCACCATATGTTAGACATAGGTCTTTTGCTCAGGAGACCTATCCCTGAACTAGAAATGTTGTTTACAAAAAAGAGCCTGGTGGAAGTGAGGACAGATCTCTCTGCACTGCTGCCTCTACCTAGGGAGGTGGAAACCCTGTAGAGGCCAGACAACAGAGTAGAACTAGTGCTTCAAAACTGAAGGCTAAGAATATCTGTCCTTTCTGAAAAGGTATAGCTGGCAGCAAAGAGATGCTGCCAGCAGAGGAGCATTCTATCTTAGCAGAGATGCTGCTGCCTTTCTGACACAGATCACCCATTCATCAGGAACTTTTTGGAAACTGAGGCTTGCAGTTCTAGAGTTGTGACTTGCCTTAGTCATTTGTGTTTCCTAGTCATATGCCTCACTATTAAGGTATTTTAAATTTATGCCCGCTCTTCCTATAAATACTCTGTGTGTCTGGGGGAGAGTGATTCTCAAGGAGTAAAGACTGTTATGAAATTATTCTTTTTGCTTTACCTTTGACCTTTGTTAAGAGTTAATTGAGAGGCAGCTAGGTGGTGTAGTGGATAGAGCACTGGTCCTGGAGTACAGAGGACCTGAGTTCAAATCCGATCTCAGATACTTATTAGATGTGTGACCTTGGGCAAGTCACTTAACTAAGATTTCCTCCAAAAAAAAAAGAGTTAATTGAATCAGCTGGCCAATTTGTTAATGGGAAGCACGTAAAACTGCTTATTATCCTTCTAGAATTTCAAAATTGGAAGGGGCTTCAGAAATCATCTTGTATAACCAGTAGTAACTGATCAGGAGTTCTTTCTGAGAAGCTTCGGTTTAAAGACCTCTGAGGCAGTCCATGCCACTTCTGAATCAGTCAGATTTTTAGGAAAATTTTTTCTCACATCAAGTCTAAATCCATTTATCTCTAACTTTCACTCACTGTTACTAATTCTGCCCTCTTTAGGCAAAGAAAACCATCTTGTGATGTTGCATTGAATAGGACCTCAGAGATCATCTAATTTGATGCCTTTATGTTACAGATGAGGAAACTGAGACTCATTTCAAATTTAATTCAACAAACATGTATTTAAGTACCTATTATATATAAGTGCTATGCACTGGAGACATAAGTACAAAAATGAGATAGTCTTTGCCCTTATGTAACTTACATTCTACTTCAGGGATCCAAGATAGATAA